CTCCAGTCTGGGCAACAGAGTGAAACTCCAACTCAAAAAAAAAAAAGGATTTGGACCTCATCCTGAAGGTGATGGGGCCCATCAAATGGTGGGAGCGAGCAACCAGCAGGCTTGCATTTTAGGACGAGATCTCAGGTAGTGATGGGGAACTGCTCAGAAGCCAGTCCATCATTTCCTTCCCACTCCCTCATCCTTTCTTCCTTCCTCACTCCATCCGTGTCTCTCTCTCTCTCTTTTTTTTTTTTGAGTTGGAATCTACTTCCTGTCGCCCAGACTGGAGTGCAGTAGCACATTCATGGCCACCCCAGTGTCAACCTGTTGGGCTCCGGTGATCCTTTTGCCTCTGTCTTCCAAGTAGCTGGAACTACAGGCACGTGCTACCAAGCCTGGCTAAATTTTTGGTTTATTGTAGAGAGAGGTCTCGCCAAGTTGCCCGGGATGGTCTTGAACCCATGGGCTCAGGCAGTCCACTTGCCTTGGCCTCCCAAAGTGCTGGGATTACAGGCTGAGCCATGGAGCCGGGCCCTTTGCGTGTCTTAACAGAGTGGGCATTACTTCTTGCTCATGTCAGGTCCAACAGTCAGCATGTGGCAGGGGCCTTGATTCAGGCAGTCATTCAGGGATCCGGGCTGACTGACCTAGGCTTTGTCCTCCTCAGCAAAGGGTTCCTGGGGCCATCCTATCATGCTCCAGGGAGTGGATGGAAAAGATGGACAGTAAAGGATTGCTTAGGAGGTTTTTATGGGCGTGGTCTACAGTTGTGGGCATCCTTCCACCTGCGTCCCATTGACTAGAAACTGCCTCATGACCCTGCCTAGATGCAAGGGGGCTAGGGAATGTAGTCCCTAGGAAGCAGCTGTCCAGAAATATCTAGATTAGAATTTTCCAAGGACTGTGTGTGAGAAACTTGGGAAAGTTGACCTGGTGACAGTATGGTGAGAGGCTATGAAAAGGGATAATGACTTGGGATTTCAGTTTCTCCTGTGAACCAGGTGGTGTTGACTGAGAGAGGAGGAGAGGATTTTAGGTTTTTTGTTTTGAGTAGCACAGTCACAACTACAACAGCCTCAACCTGCTGGACTCGTAATCCCCTCCACCTCAGCCTCCCCAGCTGGAATTACAGGTGCATGCCACCATACCCAACTAATTTTTTGATTTTTTTTTTTTTTTGAGTTGGAGTCTCACTCTGTCGCCCAGGCTGGAGTGCAGTGGCACACTCACAGCCACCACAGCCTCGACCTGCTGGGCTCAGATGATCCTTCCGCTCCAGCCTTCCAAGTAGCTGGAACTACAGGCACACGCCACCATGCCCAGCTCATATTTTTTTGATTTATTGTAGAGATGAGATCTTGCCAAGTTGCCCAAGCTGGTCTTGAACCCGTGGGCTCAGGCAATCCTCTCACCTCAGCCTCCTAAAGTGCTGGGATTGTAGGTGTGAACCACTGACAGGATTTCAAAACCACAAGGCCTGCAAATACCACATTGCCTAGTGGTTTCCAAAAACAAAAACTTTGTTAAAAGGCCTTCTCTTCAAATGAAACATTGTGTGAAACCCCCATATATGAAACAGAGAACACTCTGGGTTAGGTGCAGTGGCTATGTCAGCACTTTGGGAAGCTGAGGAGAGAGGACTGTTTGAGCCCAAGAGTTCGAGACCAGCCTGGGCAACATAACAAGATCTCATCTCTGCAAAAATAAAAAAATAAGCCAGAGTCCCACCTACTCAAGAGGCTGAGGTGGAAGGATCACCTGAGCCCAGAAGTCAAGGCTGTGGTTAATGGTGATCGTGCCACTGAACTCCAGCTTGGGCAACAGAATAAGACCCCAACTCAAAAGAGAGAGAGAGAAAACTCTGACTGAAGCCAGAGCCCCTGCTATCATTCCTGATATCCCGTAGCCAAGTGTCCCTCTGCCTTTTTTTTTTTTGAGTTGGAGTCTCAGTCTGTTGCCCAGACTGGAATACAGTGGCATGCTACCAGCCACCACATGCCCGACCTGCTGGACTCCGGCGATCCTTCCGCCTCAGCCTTCCAAGTAGCCGGAACTACAGGCGCGCGCTACCACGCCCGGCTAATTTTTTGATTTATTGTAGAGATGAGGTCTCACCAAGTTGCCCAGGCGGGTCTCGAACCCACAGGCTCAGGCAATCCACTCACCTCAGCCTCCCAAGGCGCGGGATTACAGGCTGAGCCACTGAGCCCGGCTTAATTTTTTGATTTATTGTAGAGACGAGGTCTTGCCAGGTTGCCCAGGTTGGTCTCTAAACCCTGAGCTTAGGCAATCCTCTTGTCTCTGCCTCTTAAAGTACTGGAATTATAGACGTGAGCCACTGTGCCCAGCTGGATTTTAGTTTTGAAGCTTCCCCGCATGGCAGCTCTCCAGGTCTGAGGTGCTGGAGCAAGGTCAGGACCCTGAGGCCCAGTTTGGGAGATGTTGATTGGTATATGACCTGGCCACAGGCCCCGGTAGTGGATCACATCTGAGACCGAGTCTGAAACAAGGCTGAGGGTGGAACTCTGAGGAAATGAGACTTTCAGGGATGAGGCACCCCAGGAGAAAACGAGGAGCAGCAGCAGGAAGAAAGCACACAGTAAGTGGTGGCTGGATGGCTCCAATGATGGGAATAATGGGTGCATCCTTTTCATGTCTGCATGGGAAAAATAAAGGCAGTAGCACTAGTCTTATGCTAGTTCCCAAAGTTTGGGGTCAGATTTTACTTACCTTGGAAATCTGGATGTCTGGTATTTACTGGCTTAGAAGGCTCTTGAGTTTTCGTCTTCATTCTTTTTTTTTTTTGAGTCAGAGTCTTACTCTGTTGCCCAGGCTGGAGTGCAGTGGCACACTCATAGCCACCGCAGCCTTGACCTGCTGGGGTTAGGAGATCTTTCTGCCTCAGCCTTCCAAGTAGCTGGAACTACTGCGTGTGCCACCACATCCGGCTCATTTTTTGATTTATTGTAGAGATGAGGTCTTGCCAAGATGCTCAGGCTGGTCTCAAACCCTTGGGTTCAGGCAGTTCTTTCAACTCTGCCTCCTGAAGTGCTGATATTACAGGTGTGAGCCACCACACCTGACTTCTTCATTCTTTATCTTTTCTGTTTTTCATTATGGTGTGCACAGGTGAGTCACTTGACCCTTCTCTGACCCACCACGGGGAGAGTGGATGTGGTTAGCTTCACTTTCTGTGCTTCCCAGTGACTCTACTTATCTTCCTGAACCTCAGGGTTGCCTCTTTCAGAAGCAGGTGGTCAGTCTTGCTGCAGAACTAGTAGGAAGTCTCAGGTCCCTGACTCGTGGTCCTGTGCTCAGGAGGCAGTGAGCTCAGTGGTTCAGAGCACACTCCTGAGACCAGTCCATCTTGTTTCAATCTGAGCTCTGCTCCTTGCTGGCAGGTGATCTTGGGCTAGTGACTATATATCCAAGCCTTAATTGCCTCATCTGTGAAATGGAGATAATGATATTACTCATCTCACAGGCTTGTTGGGGACTGAATGCGTTAACTCATAAAACATTTAGGCAATCCTTGGTATATAGCAAATGCTCAATAATTTCAGTTATCAGTCATTACAATGATTAGGTATATTCGACTCTGGCAGTACCAAATTATTTGCTCCTTTGCCTAGAAAGTTCTTCCTTTCTCTCCTTGCCTGACTCCTCTTCACACTTCAAGTCTTCTACTCAGACTTTACACCTTCCAGCACCCTGCCCTGATTTCTTCCTCAGTTCTTTTCCCAGCCCAGACTGTCCCAGGTGCCCTTTTGGCTCTGTGCTGATATATTTCGTTCATACCATGGAAGAGTCCTTCCTACGTGTGTCGTCTCCACTATATGAGAGAGTAGTCAAGGATAGCTTCAAAGGTGTTGATCTGTGCAGAGGAAGAGGGATGCTGCCTCTTACTGAGAGGGGGTACTGTGGGAGGTGCGGGTTTGGGGGTGGATCAGGACTTTGCTGTTCTCTTGAAATGCATATTATGGGCCGGCTCGGTGGCTCAGCCTGTAGTCCCGCGCTTTGTGAGCCCGAGGTGAGTGGATTGCCTGAGCCCGCGGGTTCGAGACCCGCCTGGGCAACTTGGTGAGACCTC